AGAATCACGGGGGGAGGAGGAGAGGGAAGAGGAGGAGGAGGAGGGTGAAGGAGAGGGAGAAGGGGGAGGGAAGACAAAGCAGGAGGGGGAAAGGAAGGAGGATGGCATTCTCCTTCTTTTCGTCGGCGTCCTCCTCTCTGGAGGTCTCCAGAGCCTCCGAGAAAAAGTGGCCACGACGATCCCACATCCTCATCCTCCCTCCTCCCTTATTCTCCGTCCCTTCTCCTCCTTCTCCCTGCTCCCTCCTCGTCTTCCTCCTCCTCATCCCTACTCCGTCCTTCCTCCCCCTCCTCCTGCCTCCCCCCTTCACCCGACGACGACGACGCCGTTGATGCCGACGACACTGACGACGCGGACGACGAAGACGGCGGCGGCGGTGAACGACGGACGACGACCAGGATGACTGTCGTCGACGACGACGACGACGGCGACAACGCCGACGCCGACGCCGTCGCCGACGCCGACGCCGACGCCGACGCCGACGCACGACGCACGACGCACGACGCACGACGCACGACGAACGACGAGCGACGAACGACGAGCGACGAGCGACGAGCGACGACGGTCCCAGCCAGAGCGCCCTCTCTTCGCGAGCGGGCGAGCGCCCGCCCGCGCGCGCGCGGCGCCCAGGTGCGCGAGCAGCTGGGCGCGTGCCTGCGGTCAGACGCCCTCTGCAATTTCCTCACTTGCGAGGCGCGCGCCCCCGCTGCGGGCAAGGTCTGCATCCACATGGGGGGGTCCAAACAGGGCCCTGCCTTCTGGGGATCGAAGGAGTTGCCATCTTTGCCGCCGCGGAAGGCGGCGGAAGGTCAGCGGAAATACAACGAGGCAGCCTCCGCCGGCGGAAGCGGGCGGAAGCTCTCGGAAGCCTCGGCGGCTCAAGACATCGTTTCCTCCTAAGGGACGCGCGGGGTCGCAATTCCCCGCCCGAAGTGCTTCTCGACTCCTCCCAGCTTTGCAATGTGCGGCTGCTGCTGAGAGGCGGGAGGGACACCCCTTCGGTGAGGTGAGCGCTGGCAGGTTGCCCAGCCTGCCGAGACCGCGGTAGCGAGACTCTTTCATCTTGGCTATGCGGGAGAACGGGCATCAGGGAGGTAAACGAGCCCTTAGACGGGTGATTCGCTTGGCAACAGTCACGGGCGAGGCTTGGTATCGAGGACGTCGATATACTCGCTCCAACATCGCTGCTTTGACCACGCACATTGCCGAGTCTTCGCCCCCGTCGAGTGCCGCACAGAATACGAGACCACCGGCTCCTCCTACTAGTAGGCAGAAGCGCTCTAAACAACTACTGCGGGTCTGGAGTTATAATGCTGAATCGCTAGTTCGCGTGGACAGGCTGGGTGAAATTCTGAGGCTAGCCAAAGAACACCTAATTGCAATTGTTAGCGTCCAAAGTACGTTGATGTCCATGGAGGTCGCCTGGACGGCCGAAGGTTTTCGAGTGTTCCCGACTCCGAGGACAGCCCCCAAAGCGAAAGATGGATGCTTAATTGCTATCAACCTAAGCTACTTCGATCTTAAAGAAGTTAGATGCGTACACCAATGGCTTCCTGGGCGCCTACTCGGTATTCGTCTTCGCCGTTCGGGACTCAAAGATCGAGATTTGTACGTGCTCAACGGCTACGCCCCCACAAACCAGCCCTCCCATCACGTCCCAGAAGAGGATAGAGATGCACGTCAGGCCGCCCACAGAAGGTCACAAGACACCTTCTGGCAGCTCTGCGAGACCACGTTGAATAAGATTCCCAGGAGATCATCAGTGATTTGGTGCCTGGACGCGAACGGCTCCGTGGCGCCCGACCCGCCCCACGTAGGAGAAGCAGGGAAACGGCGACTGCCCCAAACCACCAACACCAATGGAAGTAAGTTTTTGTCGGTTCTCCAAAATACTGGAATGATAGCTTTGAATACCTTTGGGTCCCACTTCAAACGTACAGGCACATGGAAGCATACTGATGGACGAAGTTGGACGACTATTGATTACATATGCACGCGCATGAGGGGTGGATATGGGTATAGAGCACGAGTGTTGCACACACTACCGGTTAGTTGTGGGGGGCACCGAGACCATAGACCTATAGAAGCACATGTATTCGCAGGTTCCCGATGTAGGAGGCGCCGGGAAGACCCTCCGTTGAGGTGGGATCGCGAGGGACTTGCACGTGATTTACAACAAGTTTGCCACAGTGCTACCGACACACCATTGCCAGAACGAGTGGTGGAGTTCCAAGCTAGATTAGAAGCTGCTCTAGATGATCGGGGTCTTCGGGGTCAATGGCGGGAGGAATGTGGGGAGGGCAAACACTACTCGACGACATCCGAGTACTTCAATTCTTTGGAAGGGGCGGTGGTGGATGCAGCAATCCCTGTTTATTCCACTCTAGCGGCCCCTACCCAGGCCCGACGCCGAAAGCTTTCAGAGGCAACCCTGGCGCTCATCACGCACAAGCAGTGTCTGCAACGGATGATGGCAAACTCGCCTGACCCGTCTAGCTGGCTTTCACGCTCTCTTGCTTCCAGCTTCCGCCTTGCTCAGCGCGCAGCCAAACGAGCTGTCCGAGCAGAGAAACGACAATGGACAGCAGAACTGGTTGCCGATGCCGAACGAGCCGAGTCGATGAACGATATCCGGAAGAGCTATGCCATCATTAGACGATTGGCGCCGAAACCGCTCACCCCGATCATGACTGTGAAAAACCCACGAACGAATGAGTTGTGTTTTGATGATGACGAGGATCTGCAAGTTCGTATCGAGGCACTGTGTGACATTTTTGAGGCGGACGAAGTACTCTTGGAGGCGACGGGAGGCCCTCAGGAGCTCCACGAATGTGACGAAACCCGCGTAGGGTCGTACTCGCTCGAAGACGTCGAAGCCGCCTTGTTTCGCATGCCCAACTTCAAGAGCGCCCCAGTGATTAAATGGAGCGACCCGGCTGTATCCAGTTCTTCTTCTTCGCCTTCTTCAGGGCCGCGTGATCACCCAGAAGGTGCGGTGGCAGAATTGTGGAAAATTGGAGCCCACCAGCTATGCCAACCATTGCACGGACTTTTCCAAGCTTGTCAAGCGCATGGCCGTGTAGCACAACGTTTTAAAAATGGGGAGACCGTGTCACTTAGAAAACCGAAGGGGGACGGGACAAACGCAAGGGACCATTACAGAACAATCAATTTAATTGGGCATATGGGGAAGGTTTTCACTAATGTCACGATGATGCCAGTGTTACGGTCTACTGCGGGTAAGCTATCTAGTACGCAATTTGGGGCCCTCAGTGGGCGATCCACCCGGGACGCCATCGTGGTGGTAGATGAAGTTCTACGCCGGTTTCGTGATTCTCTAAAGGGCACCAAGATCCAGTACTCGGTCCTAGCTGCGGTTCTCTTCGATTTAGAGAAGGCTTTCGATCTGATCCCGCGGGAGAAGGTTTGGATCGCGTTGGAACGGCTGGCTGTAGATCGTGGGGTTCGGCTCACCATTGAAGAGCTTTACAACGGAACTTGCTACATAGTGCGTGACCCCCGCACCAACAAACCGTGCCGACAGCTATTAGTGAAAAAGGGAGTTCGGCAAGGTAGTGTGGAAGGCCCCATGTTGTTCATCGCTGTCTACGATATGATCACCAACAAAATATCGGAAGATCTTCGTGAAGGGGGGTTTGTGGGGATCCAGGCACGGTACGACCCAGTCTTCAACAACTATCGGCACTCAAACAATTTCAACCTAGATGCGACTGCCGAGCTGGATGTTTCACAGGTCAAGTTCGTGGATGATTTGATAGGTTTCGTCGTGGTTTCAGATTTTGACCAGGTCACCGCTTTCCTTGAGTTTTTGCAGCAGTCTGTCAACGCGAGTGGCCTCAAGCTGAACGTCCCCAAAACCGAGATGCTCATTACGATTTCGGGGAAGGGGTGCCGCCGGGCGCGAAAGGTGGTCAGTAAGAAGGGCACAGGCATTCGTATGGCCCGGCAGGACGGCCAATCTCAGAATTTGAACGCTACCCCCACGGTGAAATATCTTGGAGTGAAGCTTAGCGCGACGGGGTCAGTGATCGATGAGATATCCGCTCGACTGCAAGGTGCAAATCTGGCGCACGGTCGTTTGACACAGCGAGTCCTCAAGGGAAATTTGAGCACCAGACTCAAGGTCAGGCTTTGGTGTTCGCTGGTGCGTTCCATTGCCTTATATGCTTTAGAGATCGCGATGCCGACGAAGACGGACCTAAAGCGGCTAGAACGATGGCAAACTCGTAAACTTCGACATCTTCTGAAGTCACCAGCACACATTCACCATGTACCTAATGCGAGCATACGAGAAAAAGCTAAAGTTCATTCAGTTGCATCAACATTACTATTCCGGCGATTGAAATGGTGGCAGAAAGTTATCATTCCAGGTCTGGCTCCTTCCCCGCCTCACTATGACCCCACGCTCGCTGTCAGGGCAGTCGTCTTCGGGAAGCTGTCGTTTGAAATTGATTCACGCCTGACTCCCAATGGACGTCTAGCTCAGTTGCACGCTGACTTGTGTTGCTTGTGGGACGCCGCCTCAGCCCAGGTCAAAGCAGAAGCACCTTCATTACCTATTGCCATCGAGCGTCCGTGGTTGCAGTGGCTGGCCAACCTGTCTCAGGCCGACCTCAAACAAGTACTGTCGTATCGTGCCGAGAGCGACCTCTCGTTGGAGCAGGGCGAAATTGCAGAGCCTAATCGCTTGGTCTGTCCGGATTGCGGTCGTGTTTGCAACGGGCCCAAGGGATTGGCCAACCACCGGTTCAGCGCCCATGGTATTGAACCCAATCGGCTCCATCTACCATCAGCTGCCCTCACTAACAAAACATGCCCCCACTGCCAGGCCGTGTTCGCCCGGAAGGATTCTCTGATCAAGCACATCGATAAAGGAAGATGTCCGGCTCTCCGCCAGGAGCGTGCATCGCAGGATTTTGAGGCTCAAGCACCTGCACCTCCACCAGCACCACCAAGTCGTGTGCAAAGTTCCCGTGGCAATGTTCGTGCCCGCGGCGGAGCTCGTGAAGAGGAAGGGGGACGAGGCCTTTCAGGAGGCCGCGGCAGGAGGGGAGGAGGACGACAGCAAGGGTGTGTCCAAGCTGCACCAGGTATTCGCCAAGCTGGTGCTCCAGCACGAGGACGTCATCCGGAACGGAGCGAGGGACGACAACGTAGTGGCGTGCTTCAGGGAGGACGCCCAGATCGCGATCGCTCTCGAAGCGGGGGCGCAGCACTACAAGAGCGAGGGGCAGAAGGCGCAGGAGAAGGCCGAGGCCGATCAGACGGAGTATCGCGGCCACCCGCTCGGCAAGCGGCCCGACGCGTTCTTGAAGATGCTTCTCTACCGCCTCAACGAGGCAGTGACCCTAAAAAACGCCGAGGTGCAGGCGGCGATCAAACAGGGCCCCTCTCCGGACGAGGCCCTGGCGGCAGTGCAGGTGTTGGCGAAGTGGAGCGCCAAGGCACAGGACAAGGAAGACCGAGTGGTGGCCACCAGGTGCTTCAAAGTGAGCGTGGCCAGCGAGGAGGAGGGCAAGCCGGCGACGATCAAGTGGGTGTTCGCCACCAACTCGCACCCCGAGCTGCGCGAGGCCTTGTTCAGGTTGCGGGCCAACGGCGGCCTCCGCGCGGCGGGGATTCTTCTCGACTTCGATTCCGCCCCGCGCTCGAAGGCGGCGAAGCAGCTGGAGCAAATGGTCTTCAAGAAGGGCGGGGGCCGGGGCAAGGGAGCGAAGAAGGCAAGGAAGAAGTGAACCGACAAGCAAATGAGGGGTTAGGGGGGCGGTCCCGTAGCAGGCAAAGTCTGATCTCACAATTTTTTGTACAAGGAGAAGAGCTCTCCGCCAAGAGATCCGAAACTCGTCCGGGGACTTAGTGCTCGTTTTTTGGTCTCTCGTAGGTGGCCGGCGGCCCCCTCGGTCCTAGAGGGGACTGGGGCGGCTGCCCCTGTTGTGCCATCCTCACAGGGGTGAGGGTGCTCAGGGGTAGGATTTTGGAGCCCATGCCTAGCTTCCTGGCTCTCTTGCCTTTGCCCCGAGGCACCCGTAGGGCTCCCAGCACCTTGTAAGTAGCAAGTGTTAGCGCCGAGACATCGGTAGGCCTTTAGGCTAGCCCACCGCAAAACTTCCAGCCGAATGTTCGAGGGAGTAGCGACGTGAAAAGGAAGCTCTCGGCGGAAGGTGGCGGAAGTAAGAGATGCGCCCCTTCAAGAGATGAAGACGCGCAGGGTTTCCGAAATCCCGCCATACAGTGGGGGCCTATGCCAAGAACACCCTGCTTGCCTCCATGGTGCCCCCGGTTTCTTGGGTTTCCATGGTTTTGCGATGCAGAGCGTCACGTTGCCACACCAAAAATCAGTAGACGTCCTGGAGTTTCAGGGTTGGCTTTCTTGTGGAAGGTTTATTCTGGACTGGCCTCCACTGTATCCTCTGCGTCGGCGCAGAGGGTATGGCGTATGGCCACACCTTCTGCGTCGGCGCAGTGGGTATGAATAAGAGGAGGAGGGGGAGGAGGAGGAGGAGGAGGAGGAGGAGGAGGAGGAGGAGGAGGAGGAGGAGGAGGAGGAGGAGGAGGAGGAGGGGTGTGGAGGAGGGAGGAGGAGGAGGAGGAGGAGGAGGAGGAGGAGGGAGAGGAGGAGGAGGAGGAGGAGGAGGAGGGGGAGGAGGAGGAGGAGGAGGAGGAGGAGGGAGGGAGGAGGAGGAGGAGAGGAGGGAGGAGGGAGGAGGGAGGAGGGAGGGGGAGGAGGGAGGAGGGAGGGGAGGGGAGGGAGGGAGGAGGAGGGGAGGGGGAGGGAGGGAGGGAGGGAGGGAGGGAGGGAGGGAGGGAGGAGGGAGGGAGGGAGGGAGGGAGGGAGGGAGGAGGGGGAGGAGGGAGGAGGAGGAGGGAGGAGGAGGAGGAGGAGTAGGAGGAGAGGAGGAGGAGGAGGAGGAGGAAGGAGGAGGAGGAGGAGGAGGAGGAGTGGAGTGGAGCAATCGGACGTAGTCCGTACGAAACCCAGAGACGCCAGGGGGGCCATCCAATATTTCTCGGAGGACCGTGGGGGGCGACATCCCACGGCACACCGCGACAGGCCCCCCTGGCCTCACAATTTACTCGGAGGCAGCGCCCACCGCGTAGGAACCGATCGCGGTTGCGGCTGCCGAAACGTGCATGGCCTCTAGAACAGACTTGCTGGGACCCGATCTGGACGGATGAAGGCCTCGCCTGATCCTGCAGAGGTTTTCGAGGCCTTTGCCAGTGGGTCCCAGGGCCCTGCGCTCTCCCACTTGGTGGGAGAGAGGGCACGGAAACTGTAGGCTTTTAACCTGGTGCGTAGCCGTGTGGCCGCACTTCACACAACAGAACATTTGCCACTTGGGGATAGTGGCCAACGTGTGGGAGGGGTGTAAAGCCTTGCCACTGATCACACGGGGACCCCGCGACCACAGCACCTCGCCACACGCAGCAAACTCGGGAAGGGGGCAAGGCGGACCACACTCCGTGGCGGCAGCTGGAATAACGTGGCAAGAATCGACGATGATGAGGCAGACAGAGCATCGCCATTTATCTGCACACCGCTCGAATTTGTGCTGAGACGCCGCAATCGCGGTCTGCAACATAGAACGAGGGGCTGCCTCCTGGGTGGGTTGCCTCTCTGGCCACAGTCCTCGAGGCTCTGAATTCTTACCTAAGGAACGAAGGATCAGTCGTGCCCTCTGTCGGACGATGGCAGCGATCGCATCGTATTCATCGGTCCTGGGAACAGGCGGGAGAGCAAGGGTGGCCGACTTGTGGGCGGCGCTCCCCGCGAGCTCGTCGGCTTGCTGGTTGCCGAGAGCAAGAAATTGTTGGAAACCATGCAAAGTCTGGGGATCGGCATGAGATGGGGTCCAGAGCACCGTGGCCGAGGAGACACCGCCAGGTCGATCCTGCACGAGGTGCCGAATCCTCAGCCAGAGATCCCCATTCTTATTCTTACCTCCAAGGCCGCCAGGCCTGAGACATCTGCCATTCTGCCAACCTCGCTGCAAGGCTAGGTGATCAGTAACAAACGTGAAATCCTGCTGGCACGTCTCAAGAGCCAGGCAAAACGCATATAATTCGCCTCTTGGGACAGTCTGGCGGGGGCCTGGGAGGGGGGCAAGGAGGCCCGCGTGGAGGGCCCAGGAGGCCGAGGGAGGGTCCAAGCGGAGGGCCGCGAGGCCAGAACCAACGCGACGTCGTCAGACGTCGTCGGAAAAGGCCCCGCCAGACCCGTCTCCAAAAAGAAACAACTCGCCCTCTGCGTTACGAGCTCCTTCCCAAGACGGCAATCCCTCCCGCACCGCCCCAGCAAACTCCCACCCGTCCCTCCCAATCAATGGCTCGAACGTGGGCGTGGTGAGAGCGACAGAGGGAATGCCACGGAGCCACAGGGCGGGGTCGGCATCGACCCCCGCCACGGCGCGCGGCAGTAGCTTGTCACTGGCCTCAAACTCAGGTCCCACATTCGCCTCGCACTGCCACATTCGGTGGACCGGGGTTTCAGGAACTCCAGCGCTGCATCGGTCGCAGTTCCTGTCGATATGATAGCCCGCGTTGTGGAGTCGGTCTCTGGTCCACTGTCCTCCGCTGATGATGGTGTTGTTGAGGGCCCAGTCGCTGAAGTCGCCGTTTGCGAGGAACCTCCTTTGTTCAATGCGGATAGTGACCATGTCTGCGCCTCCAGCCAGCGTGTCACCATGGGCATGCGTAGCGGCCTGGGTCCAGAGGAGCTTGTGTAAATCCTCGCTGAGGTCCTGCAAAACTGTGTGAATGTCGGCGTCGAGGAGGTCAGGGTCATCGGCAGGGGGGATGTTCCACTCCTCAATGTAGCCGTCCTTTGTACGCCTCCAGGTGGTAGCTGAGGTCGGTTCCCAACTGGCCTCCAGCAGCGTCGCGATGGCCGCGCCTGTGGGTCCCTTGACCTTGCACCACAGCTTGGGGCCTGCAGCGAGCAAGGTGGTCTTGATCCTTGGCCAGGCCCTGATGATCCTGGCGTGCGTGCTCGGGTGACGTATCCAGTGCTGAAGCCATGCCTCTATGGACTCGATCCTAAGGGAAACTCCTGGGTCCATGCCGTCGAAGGTGGCGCCGAGGAGGGAAGTGAGGCATCGGCCCGCTGCAGCGCCCGTGGCAGCAATGGCGGCCTGACGCCGCCATCGTAGTAGAGCGTGCCGAGCGAGGCCGTGCACCTGATGCCCGAATACTCCTTCTGGGAGAGCGCCAGTGCGCCACAGTCCAGCTGAGATTCGGGCCTGCTGTGCAGTGCTCCGAAGTCGGTGTATCTTGCGAAATCTAGCTGTGGCTGAGCTCTGTCGCCTCCTGGCTTTAGCTTGTACTCGTCGAGTAGCCGCGGCTGCGTCTACTCCGAGGTCGACGGCCGTGGCGGTCGCAGTAACTGGGATGTCGTACCGTCGCATTTTCTTGGCTAGCGAGTGGCGGACCTTGGGGGTGGAGCCGATGAGGACGGTCTTGTCGGAGATAGGCAGCTCGAACTCCTTTAAACCGTCGCAGAGCGTCTTGGCGGCACGGGGGAGATGCTTGTGTAGGGCGCGTAGGACTCCTTCGACTCGAAGAACAGTGTCGTCTACGAAGGTCCACATCTGGGCAAGCTCTGCCTGAGCTTGGGCTTGTCGAAGAATTGGTAGTAAAATGAGTCGTGCCAATGTGGTGCCGTGAGGGGAGCCTGCAATGATGCCTTTGGAGGCGAAGATAGGCATACTCACCCATTGTCGACTGCGCAAGAACCTGGGCGCCAGGTAAAGCTGTACTTCCAGTAATAGAACGATGGGGGGAACGCCGCAGTTGAGGCCGACCATGATGAGGTTGGCGAGCTTAATATTGTCGTAGAACTTCTGGATGTCTAATAGCAAGGTGGCCGACTGTATGCCAAGTGCTGAGGCTGTCTCGTCTAACAAGGCCCTATGTAGAGCCGCTTGGAGAGCTGAGGAGCCTTTGATGGCTGTAGTCCAAAAGTCGTCCAGACCTTGTGTCCAGGCTGTCGATGCAGTCGATCTAATGCGAGACCAGAGTCTGGCCATATGAGGTAGCATGCCGAAGACTCGGTCGCCTCCAGACTTCTTGGCGGCGAGAGCTGCAATAGTGCCTGAAATTTGTAGTGGCCAGATGCCTGCTTGCTCTACTGAGTTGAGAATATCTGCATACGCTTCAACTGCTGGTTCTGGTAGTCGATGGAGGTCGCGGGGTCCTAGGGCGTCAACTCGGTGTGCTTTACTGGGTGGCATGCGGCTGTGGAAACGGTGTACGATCTCGGCTGTGATGGGCTCAAGCGGTTGATGAGCGGCTGCTGCCTTGGCCTTTGACAGGGCATGTAGGATGTCATCAGAGGTCTCGGTGGCTTGCCATACTTGTTGCCATTGTCGCTTCTTGTTGTCCATGATAACGGTGGGGTCGGCGATGGTCAGGTTGGTCGTGTAGGCCTCGATGTGACGTATGGGCGCTGGCTTGACATGGGCGTGTAGTACTCCAGGGCGGTGCTTCCATTGCTGGGCTAGCCAAGCCCCGTAGGCCCTCTTGGACTTGGCGAGGGCGGCCGAGAGGGCTCTGGAGGCCCAGGTAGCGGTAATGGTGACCAAGTCGCCGCTGTCATCCTTGTCCAGGTGCGGGGCCCAGACGAGTGCAAACCAGCGGAAGATGGTGTCCTCATCTTTCTCGAGCTGGAGGTCGTGCATGTGGGTGCTGAAGTGGTCCGCGCGCTGCTGGATGATGGAGGCCTGCTGCTGCATGAGCGCTA